GGGCTGGGTTGGTTAACAACCTGGATAACCTTGTTAACCAACCCAATCCAACAACCTACCTGAATAAAAGATGTGATTTGATCTTTTAACTAGGTTGTTATCCAACCCAACCTAATCCAGCGGAAACTAACCCGACAAACTGCTTTCCTCATTCGGTTTACCCAGTTTTTTGGGTTAGATTGAATTGCTTAACAACTGGTTAAAAGATGGTATTTAATCTATTAACCAGATTGTCAACCCAACTAACTACATTAACTGGTTGGGTTACTTAATAGTCTGGATAACCTTGTTAAGCAACCCAATCCAAACAACTAAAGTCGTTTGGTTGGCTTGGGTTGGTTAACAACCTGGCTACCCAACCCAACCAACCAAAATAGTTTGTTGGTTTCATTCTCGTTGGGTTGAGTTATGTTGGTCTATCGGGGAAGCTCCAAGGAGGAAACGGAGGAGTACGGAAGAGTGGAGAAGTTGGTGGAAGAGAGACACAGGGAAGGGAAAATGGACCAAGAAGATCTTACCGGACATCGAATCATGTCACAATAGAAAGTGGGTTAAAACCAACTAACATTTGAGCCAGTTTATCTCGGGTCATGGTTGTTTTAAGGCTTATTTATACAGCCACAAGAGAGTAGAAGCTGAAAAGTGCGTGTTTTATGACGCCATTGCTGGAGATGGACCAGAGAAAGGGAGCTTGCCAACATTAGGATTTGACAAAAGATAATGCTGGTGAACAGGTAGCAGTGAGGGATAGTGCAACAAGGAGACATACATAAGGACGGAGATCACTACCAAGAAGAGAGGTTGGGTTTGGAGTTCGCGGTATAGGGGAATATAAACAGGTTCTGATAGGCAGGTTTAAAACACAGATGTTAAAACTATGGAAGGTGTTGGACGTGACTCTATGGCTGGTTGGTTCTCTGCAAAGCAATTTGCAAAGTTCTTTTTATAATCTAAAAATAAAAATTACTATTTTTGTTAAGAATTAACACAAGCCTTTTTTTACATCTCTCATTGTTGGATAAAATACCCAAACTATATTTATACTCATCAAAATTATTAAATGAAATTCTCAAAATCGTTTGCCAGTGGGCCAATTATGACATTTTTCTAGACGATAAAAACCAACAGTTTTCGACATTTTAAACTACTGAAATGGCGTAACTAGAGGAAAAAACATTTCAGCACTTAGAAAAATCGATTATGAAACGTTGTTCAATATTTGATGGCAACTGCAGTTAACGATATTTTGCATTTTTTAAACTCAATAATGGACTTGATGCTTTAAAAAATGTTATTAAATAATATTTATTGATTTGAAACGTGTACAACATCGTATACAAGATCATCACAAAAAAAAGAACTCAAATTTTAGCTTTGTTTAAAAAGTATTGACAACTTTTTCTGTTTCTCGTGAAATTTTACAGAAAAAGACTTCAGAATAATTTACGCCCAAAATTTCAAAGTAAAAATAGAAGCAATACGAAGAAGTAGAAACTGCAGTGAGAAACAAGAAGAGATGTGGATATACTAACATATTCTATATGTGTGAAAAATGCAGAAAACCATTAGGTGCAGAAGATCGCTAGGGCTAGAAATGTAACAGCGAGATGCTCTGATTGCGGAGAACCACATCTGGCCAACTATCGAACGTGTTTGGTGGCAAATAAGTTGTAGAAACGACGGGATAATCTGCCAAAATGCAACAAGAACCAACACAGGATTTTTCTTGTAAAAATGCTTCCAGCGACACTACATATGGATGCAAATGATGCGCAAGGTGATGGAACAGAATGAATGAGTAGCAATGGCAATCTGGAACTTTCCTAAACCGCAACAAAATTGACATCTTGCTGCTATCAAAAGCACACTCCACGCGACAAACTCATCTCAAGTTCTCTACGGATACCAGACTATCCACCCAAAAAAAAATGCAAAAGGAACTCTCCTAAACACAGTAGTAAACCGAATTTCAAGTTAAATTACAAGTTTTAGTCTTCTGACCTCCATACTGATAACCCCATCGTGTTCTAGGTTTTCCAACCGGTCTCCTACTTCCTGGCTATCCTTGTAGTGTTTTTGGTACTCTTCCATCCGCCATCCTTAGAATATGCCCTGCCCATGTTAACCACTTAAGCTTTATATATTCTGAGACTCGTGTTTTCTGATTTAGTTGATACAATCCCTAATTGGTCCCATAATTTTTCTTAAGATTATCCTCTCTTATGTATCCAGCCTCTCTGGGTATTTTTGTGTAAGTGTCCACGTTTTCTTCTTCACACGTTAGTATTGTACGGATTGTGGTTTTATACACTCTAATTTTGGTTAGTCTGAGAATGACTCTAGATTTGATTTTAGTATGGGTAGTGTAGCGTAATATGCCCTATTTGCTGCATTTATTCTCTTAATTAGCTCCTTTGCTTTGTCGTTGTGATGAAATGTGTTAGATCCTAGCTATGTGAACTCTTGTTCCACTTCAAAGTTGTATTCGTTTATTTCTGTATTAGCCAGGAGGGCCATCCATTACTGTCGCCGTATCCACTCTACGTTTACATAACATATTTTCAACAGACATTAATTTTTTTTTTCTCCCTTTAACTTCAGCCACTTCTCACATGCTCTACGAACAAAAAACCTGAATCGATGAAAACACCTAAGTATTTTAGTGAGGTGATCATTTTTACCTAGCCGGAGCCCATCCTAAGCACCACCCCTTCACTTTCTTCAGACCATAAAACAACCCTTTCAACTTCTCTCTAAAATAACACAACTTACACTCCTCGGCACATTCTTCGCAACACCATATCTTCCGTACCTCTTTCCTTCCCTCACCTTATTTATTATCTCATCTAATGCTTGTACCGTTCTCCGTCCTCTGCTGAATCCATACTGTCCCTCTTTCTCCATGAACGATAACACTGTCTCCACTATCATCCATTCCAAAACCATTCCTATGCCGGAAGCCAGACAAATCGATCTGACTCTGCCCATTGATTTCGGTTGCCACACAACTCTGTATTTCTTCCACTCCTTCGGGAACACTCCCTCCCACATCTCTCAATAACACCTCTCCATTAATAATATATATATAACTTTTCAACCACGATTGCCTTGATTCCATCGCACCAAATCGCCTTTCTCTCGCCTAAGCTTGATATAATTCCCGCCAACTCTTTATCCCTAATATTCTCCACTATCCATTCATCCGGTATTACTCCATCATCCCTTGTTATCACCGTATCCTCCGACCTATTCTGCGGGAAGTATTTCAGTTGTGATGTTTCATCCTATCCAATTTCGTGGTTGCCTGCTATGCATTAGGAGTCAGCTGCGCTTTCCAGTTTCCTGAAGGCACTCATCTATATCCATTACCTTGTTTGCTAATATGTTATATTATAATATTATGCTAATAATCTATAATCTATGCTAATATGTCATAGAGTATGTCATCTGCATACTCTATGATTAGTTTTTACCGGTTTAATAACATTGATTATGTGTCCAGGCTGCTCTTTCCTATTACACTTTCCAGGGCCAAGTTAAAGATATGAGCACATTACCTTGTTTCAGGCCTTCAAATTTATCTATTTCTCAGATGTGCACATCAATTTTCCTTCTACTTGTTGTGCTACTCATTGTTTTAGTTATCATTCTAACCAGGTTTGGTGAAATGTTATGGTAATATATCTTATAAATACACACACTAACAGTTACGCTGAACTCATAAGATAGGGTTACAAATTGTGGATGGTATTCCCATAACAGGATACACAGTATGGTTTGAACCTTAGCAGGGATCGTCAACAGTATTACCTGAACAGTATAAATGGTTGGACAGTCAGTAAAAGCTAGCAGTCATTTTTTGGATGTCTTCAAAAGATCATGGATTTACAGTATCTGATTTAGCCTATGGTATATATTCAGTTCAACTTGACTATTCATTTCTGGAATATCCTCGTCATTCGGTAATACTTCTCCGTTCTTTTTCTTGCTTTTCAAATAATGCTTACAAAAGACTTAATACTACGGGCAGAAGACAAACACTGCTTGCTAAACACTTAATAGTACGGACAGAAGGCTGAATACTGCTTGTAGAAAACTTAATACTACAGCCAGAAAACAAATACTGCTTGTAGAAGACTTAATACAAGGAACAGAAGACAAAGAATGCTTGTAGAAGACTTAATACCACGGGCAGAAGACAAATATTGCTTGCTGAAGACTTAATACTACGGGCAGAAGACACATAAAAAATATTCAAATCTAACTAAAGTAATAGTGGCATTATCACTAGACCTAGATTACGCTGTGCGTCTTTTGAAAAAGTGTTTGACGTTTCGGATGCCATGTTGCAACCTTCTTCAGAAACAAGTTCAGAACAAGATAGAAGCATGGCGAAGGGTCACCTCCATGAATGAGTCACAACGTCTAAACTCTCGTCTGCTACACAATGTGCATCCGTTGTACGCCATGTACTTGGGGATCACACGATTATCGTCATCGTTAGCAGATCTATTCCTTGAATGTCTGACTAATTGTCAGTTTAAATGTTATAGTGATAATTTATAATGAAATCTTCTTTTTATTTGAAAAGTTCAATATATTTTTTTATATTCAAATATAAACAACATACATTTTACATCATATAGTACAATAATACAATAATAATTATTCAATTATATTCATATAGACTTCTCATAAAATATAATAATAATAAACCATGATAATACAATAATAATTTTTCGATTCAGATACAAATTTTTTAATCAATAAAAAAATCATATTAACTAATAGGATATTAAGATTTCAAAATAATAACACAAAAATATAAATCACATTCCCAAAACATTTTTATAAACCACAAATAGAAACAATTTAATAATAATAATAATAATTAGAAATGAAGTGTTGGAATGCCTATCTTAAAAAAAATGAGATAAAGATCTTAAATAAAAACTAAACAAAGTAAAAAAATTCTCCTTCTTTTTCTTAATCTATTTTACTTTTTTTTTTTCACTCTCAGCTCCGTTTTCTTCTTTTATTATTATTTATTTATTTATAACTAAACCATTTTCTTTTACAGAAATTGTTCGTATGATTTCCAGTTTTCTTTTAATATTTTTTTTATACTGTGATTGAAAACAACTTCATCTTTAATGATTTAATCATTTTTTTGATTTTTAACATGAGATTAAAGCTCTTCTAAACTTTGTAACGACTTCCTTAAGAGATCTTGTTGTGCTCTTGCATGTTTAACTTCTAATTCAGCCAACTCAATTAAACTATAACGAATTAAAATTTTACAAAAAAAATTATTATTTTTATCTTAATCAAACCTTTTTCTAAAAGCGTGTAATCTTCTTGTTTTAAAATCTAAGAGTTCTTCTTTAGCTTGGGCTGAAATTGCTTCGAAATGTTCGCAGGCGTCGGATTGAGCTTGTTCAGCCTTCGAAAAAATCGTCCAATTTAAAAATTATTTAATAAAATCTCTTTGAGTTATAGGAATATTTAGGAAAAAATTAAGGATTAAGGACTTTCTTACCTCTTGCACTTCCGGTGCCTTTCAACAAAAGCATTTAAAAGCAGCATTTAAACACAAAAAGATTCACTAAACAGTTTTATTCTTTATTTCATTCATTCAAACAAATAATAAGAGAAATGAAGTTAAACTCACCGCATGAATATCCTTATTTTTGTGCCTAGCTTTCTCCAAAGTCCTATTAGCAGCTTCATAAGCCGCCAAACACCTTAATCGACGCACCAAAAGTTCTTTAGCTGCGTGACTATCCCTCATATAATAACGTAAAGTATCCGCAAGTTTTAAATCTTCATCGCTAGCTACTCTACTTTCAAGTTTCTAAAATTAACAAAAAAAAATTATTCAAAATACAATTTTTAATTATTTAATCTTTCAATACACGCGCGTGGACTGTCAGTCTGCAATTTAAAATTAGCGCAATCCTTTGTAAACAAACTATCATGACTTATTTTATATCCGTTGCGACTGCAGAACAGAATTGCTTGATTAATACAAAGAAAAATTTTCTTGAATGATGTTCTTTTAAGAGCGAGTTTTGAATAGGATTAAAAGGTTCGATGACTTGATTGTTTAGGAAGACATTACCCGCGTGTTAAACTTATTTTGGCATTGTTAAATCAAAATTGAGTTTTATAAGACTTTAATGATATGTACCTTAATCATTTAAACCGAAAGGTAACCTAAACTAAAGATGTTGATGAGATATTTAGATATTATTTAGATATTGATAGATATTATTCCATGTAGAAATTATAAAACTTAAATCGATTGTTAATCAACGCTTAACCTGACGTTAATTGAATTATAATGGTGAGATATGATCGCGACATCAAAAATTGCTTCCGCAAAACTTTAAATTAACATTCTTCGATAAATAGTTTTACTTTAATTAAAATAAAATTTTATAAAGCTGGATTACCTTTACGTTAACTTCAACAGTGTGTATCTTATTAGATTAATTTAATCGAAAGTTAATTGACCAAAAGCGTCGGATTTTTAATTAATGTTTTCTAATTAATTTAATTTCAAATTAATCGTTTAGTAATCAAATAATTACCATAATATCAGTGTTTAAATCGTATAGGGTCTAATAGGATCTTATAAATCCTAAATTTGATGTTAATCAACGCATAACTTGACGTTGATCGAATGCTAATGTTGGGTTGGGTTGAATTGAACGTTCATCCGTGCCTTATTTTCCCTTGTATCAGCGTATCCTCCGGGAAGTATTTCTGGAAAAAGTCGCCTATTGAATCCTTGTTTTTGAACCTCTCCTCTTCATTCTCGCTCGCCATCAATACTTCCTTTCTCCATGCACCACTCACTCTTCACATCTCCTTCCATCCTTTATCATTCACTCTCTCCCCAACCTTTCTATCCCAGTCTCTTCACCGCAACGATTTCCCGTTTATATCCCTGCCTAACTTCGACGAGCTTCGTATGCGCTCGGCTCAGCCCGTTTAGCCAGCGGCATGTCGCAGCTTACAACAGCGCTGGACCTTGAGTGTGCATTTCCCGAGAACACGACTGTACCTCCTTATCGAATGAGGATTTTCGTTACTCCAGTATCTTCAATTTTGTCGGTTTACTGTGCAAAGGCAAAATGTTGCTTCATCCGAAAATAAAACGTTGTAAATAAAGAGTGGATTACGGTCACATCGATTCTGCATAATTTCACAGAATTCCATGCGGCGATCTGTGTCATCTTCATTGTGTTCTTGCAATAACTGCACTTTGTAGGGATGGTACCTCTCTGCTCGTAGCACAGGTAGTACAAATCGTTGAGGAACTTGATGATCCGCTGCAATTTGTCTCGAATTACTACGGGGATCATCTTCAACAGCTAACAAAATATTAACTTTCACGTTTTCGTCGATTTTAGGACGTCCAGCATGTGCATCGTGCTAAAAATGTCCAGTTTCTCTAAATTTCTTCTCAATTTTGCTAACTGTTGATGATCTACTAATAACTCTGTCAGGGTAGTTTGCATTAAACAAATTGCATACCTCTGGTTGTGTTCGGGTTTTATCTCCACATCCAATAAGAATAAAAATTTTTATGCGTTGGGTTTCACTTAAGTGAGCCATAATTATTATAAAAACAGTAATAAATATTGAACAAACCTGGCCTAATGAACACAGAACACGGCAAAAAATAACAATCTCAATCAGAATATAACGCAAAATAACTAATACAAAACTAAACAACATAAAACAGAAAAAAAATACAAACAATTTACAAAACAGAAAACAATGCAAAAATACAGGAATTAATTGCTATAGAAATTGTTTCAATTCAATTAAACACTAACGAAAATAATTTTGAAGTTTTTGAATAGATATTATTAAAACTAAACAAAGCGTTTCCACGGTTACCCATGGGTAATGCTATTTTTACGTTAAAAAAATAAAATTTGTTCCTTTAAAGCTAATTTTCTCAAAATTTTCCTTATGTAACCCATATCGATATTTACATCGTTGGTCGCAGAAAAAAATATCCTTTCAGATTTTGTAAAAAAAATGACCATCACGAAGTGAATATGGTGTCATAATGTGTGTTATGATTAACCAAAATTAACCTGTTTCGCCATTTTTGCAAAAAAAATTTGTTATCAATTTATTGATTATGTTCCATAATTCTACCGCGCACTGTATATATACTATCTCCTATATCGCTGACTATGGCAGCAAGAGTGTCAAGACTAGAGTGCAGATATATACTGTATATATATATATCTGTCTCTGTGATGCCCCTTCTACTCAAGAGGCATGTGTGAGCATGTGGTGAGTATGCTATTATCTTATTGGACGGTAGTATAATATTAAAAAATTAATAGCAGCTGATGACCTTGATGTTCATAAATCACCAAATAAATGTTTGACATGAATATAACCTAAAATCTAAATATTTAGTTATGTATATTATAGGTTTCATGTGTATAATAACATAATTATTAACATATTTTAAGACTAAGCAATTTAAAATGTAATTATTATTTGTTAAAAAAGTGAAGAAAATTTGTTAAAAGTAGCTTTGTTAAAATTAATAACTATATTTTGGTACACATATTTAATAATTACTATGTATGTATTAATTTAATTTTACAGAATATGTTTAATGAACAACCTAGATAAAGTTGATATTTAAAGCAATATTCAACCGCAATTTCACACAAAAGTACCCTATATTCTAATTTATTTGATGCATCAATGATCATTTATAGTTAAAGTAAACCATCTACAATAATTGCATTTTAAAGCTGCATAAAATACGCGCGAAACACATGAAACTCTTTAAAATTTACGATTCGCGCAAGCGCTTTCGCGACATTGGGGCATGACAAAGACAGACAATATATCATTCCGTCTGCCTTTGATGGAAACGCTCTCCTCTCATTGGTTAGATAGGGCGTCAGCGATATAGGAGATAGTACACATATATCAGGCCTCTAAATGCAAAACCCGACAAATAACAAATTTGTGAAATTTGAGTTTTATACACCATTTTGTTCGTTATGTAAAGCGCTATTAAATTTCGTATTATTATCTTGCAAATTTCGACAATATCCAGTAGATATTAGTATAGAAAATCAGGCTTAGATGCAAAGCCCGACAAGTCCTAGCATTGTTTAAATTCAAACACCGACATGTCCGCCAATAGTCAGCCAATAGGAAGGAGTGAGTCAGGTCATATGGTCATAACCTGTATTGTTCGATGAGTTGAGTTGATTCACAAACGTTTTGATAGTGATACGGTGTTTAAGTTTCGTTATTATTTTTTTTAAATAGTGTTAAAAAACAATGAATGACCAAAAGATTAGTCCATCGGAAGGTAATACTTCTCGAAAGAAGATAAAAACGTCGTCCAAACGAGACCTAGCCAAACAAAAACGGCAAGACCGATCAGACAAAGCAATGTAATAGTTTAAACATGTTTTTGTATATTTTTACAGGTATGCACCTAAAACCCTGCCAATATTTCCTCAATGTGGCCGTACTGGTACGCCATACCAACCATTTCAATGTTCCTCAATGCTTACTATGAGAGATATTATTTATTTCCATGAAGCGTTTTATCAGTCTACAAACAAAATTAGTCAGGACCAATTTATACTGAAACACTGCACTACTTCTGATCCCAAAAGAATGAGAAAAAGGAGTGAAGAGAAAAACAAACCAAAATCTATGACGGTAGTGTATCATGTCAAAAGAAAGGATGAATTACTTGTCACTGTTTGTAAACAGAGTTTTATGAATATTTTGGGAGTAAAAAAGGACAGAATTTTAAATATCTTGAAACGTTATAAGGAAAAGAATGAGATGCCTACGGAACGTCGAGGAGGAGATCAAGTAAAAGAAAAAAACAACAACAAGCAAGCAGCTATAACAGACTTTGTGGAGCTATTAACGTGTGTAGAGTCTCACTACTGCCGCTCAAAAACTTCTCACAGATTCTATTTGCCAGCTGAACTAAATATAAGACAACTGTGGGAAATGTACAATAAATCGGTTGAGCGGAATCTTCAAGTTAAGGAATCATTTTTTAGATATTTTTTCACAAGAAAATATAACGTTGGTTTCGGGACTCCAAAAACGGATATATGTTCCACATGTTTCCAGTTCAAAGAAAAGCTTAAAACAAGTATAGATAACGACACAAAAAACCAGCTTATGACTCAGCTGCGAGTTCATAAAATTCGAGCGAAAAGCTTTTACCTAATAGCTTAGAATCAAGATGATCCAGAAGTTGTAACGTTTAGCTTTGACTGCCAGAAAAATTTAGCCTTGCCCAAGATTCCTGACCATGCTGCTTACTTTAGTATGCAACTAAATTTTTATCATTTTGCCGTCGTCGAAGGAAGTTCCAGAGGAAAATTAAATCCAGCTACAGTGAGGTCATACATCTGGACTGAAGTGGATCACCAAAGAGGATCTAATGAAATAGCATCAGCACTCTTCCATACTCTAACAACATTTGAATTTAGTGACACTGTTACAGTCTTCTAATTCTAATTCCAATTCTACCGTAATTGGATGCTGTGTAACTGGTTGTTAAATTTAAGTCCTTCAACCATTACAGATGTTCAAGTTATATTCCCAATGGTAGGACATTCTTACATTCCTCCAGATAGGCTATTTGGTCATAACGAAAAAGTAATCAAAAAGAAACCAGATGTTACAAGTGCAAGGCAATAATATATAAAAATTATACAAAAATGGGGAAAGGTCTACAGATTGGGAGTTGAGGTTCCAGTACATGATTGGAAATTGAAAACACAACTTATTATGAAACCTCCGTCCCAGTGGCATTTTAAATTTCAGATGTCCAAGCGCATTATAATTTCAAAAAGCAATGCTGGTCTTTCTATAAGAGGAGAAAGTTTCTATAGGAACAATCTAGGTTCACAAAAATCGTTGCTAAGAAGGGGAAAAAAGCTACTTCTGGAGCCAAGTGTTATTGAATCTGTAAGTATTACTAATTTGCTTAAAAAACATTATGGAGAAGATTGGCAGAGCAATGAAGCACTATCCTTCTTCAAAAATGCTTTTAAGAATAAATCTGTTATAGAGAACTCTACAACAGAATCCAATCAAACTGAAAATGAAGATGTAACTGAAAACTTTTGTTTAGCAGAAACTTTAGATTTTGATGTTTAATATTATCCAGTTAAAATAATGTACCTATGTTACTATTTTTTCTTACTTTTGCTTTTTTCAATTTTTTTTGTCAAAACGCGACATGTCACAGCTCTTAACATACAAAACCCAACATGTCCATATTAAAATCCCAATTTACAAAAAAACTAGCTGAACTAGAATTTTAGGCAATACATTTTCAATAAATTATGCACTAGATAATAACAATACTTTGTTTATATTCTTGCTTTAACTATTCATAATTCTGTAATCAGTTTTTCGCGATTTCTGTCAAATTTGTTTATGTGGACTTGTCGGGTTTTGCATTTAGAGGCCTGATATATGTTTATAACGCAGTCCAATTTTAAATTTAATAACTTATAACTAACGCCATCTTTTACCCAGCAGCCGTTTCTATTATCAATTGCGAATTCAGTCCATTGCATGTACTGAAAGATTAATATCAACTTACTCTAGCTCTTTCAAAAGTATCAGCAACTTTCGACATAAATTTATCTAGTGGACCTGGATCAATATTGGCCAATTCAATTAACCGACTCGAAATTTTAATGAAACTATCAGCGACCTCTTTGTGTTTTTCAGTCATTTTATCAGTACGAACAGTAGCCTCTTTTAACTGTCCGTTATACTCGGTTAAGGCATTCATTTGTTGTTCAAAAAAATCATTAACATCACGCACTTTTGCGTTTAAATAATATTGATCGGTCGTGTTACTTAAAGATTTTACCAAGCCCCCCAGTTGTTGGAGGCGACCGCGAGGTCTCGCACACAACTCTTTTTCGTATTCAAGGAAAACTCTGAGATGTTCGTCTTCACGAAAAACCGCGTGACTCGCTAAACGCGTTAAAAACACTTCGTGCATTGCTACGGTTTTTTTAAACGTCGCCAAATATTCCCTAAAAAAATTACAATTAATAATAATACGATTAATTTAAATTGATTTGTTTTAAATTACGCTTCTAATTCTTGTTTCATTTTATTAAATTCCTCTTTCGTCATCGTTCCTTCACCTTCCCCTAATCTTTGAAGTTTTTCTCTTGACCCATCAAAGTTTGGACGTGGAGGAGGTGGTGGAATCTTAAATAAACTCGTTATTAAACCTTTTTTCTTAAAAACCAATTAAATAAAACCTACGATATAACCTGCATAAGAACGATTCTCTTCATATCGATCATGTAACCAAATAAAATCCTCGTGTTGCCTCACAACTAAAAACTCAGGCTTTTGAAACGTTTTTAGCGTTGTCCGAGTATGAACTGTGAATTTAACTTTATCTTTTTCACTTAAGGCATCGGATATGTCAACAATCAAGCTATTATCGGTTAAAGGGATAGTATTTCCATCGTCCCCGTTCGGTTTATCGCTCTAAAATAAAATATAAACATAATTATGAGGCATAATACAAAGAGGAAGTTTTTTGAGGTTAAGTTGGGGAAAAACGCCCACCGAGGATTCAAAGCGAAATTTCGGAATTTTCTTTAATCCAGGTGTTGGGTTTTGAAATTTTCGGCGACTTACCATGTTAAAACGAGGGGTTTCTTACAGTTTTTTCGAGTTATTTTGGGTTAATTCGGAGATTATAAACTTAAGTTAACGTTGACGGGAAAAAACAAAAATGGCGCTTTCATTCGGTTTGAAATTAGCTGTTATTTATCAATTTAGTTTATTTAATAATTTTAATCTATTTTAGAATGTTATTTATAACGATCACGATTTCATTTAATTAGAAAGTCATCTTTACTTTTGATTAATTTTGTTATAATTAAAAACAAATTATTATGATATTTTTTGGGAGGTTTATTTTGATGTTATTAAATAATGTTCGATTGAGCTAATCAAAATAAGCATGTTTCGATTAACTTTTAATTTTTAAATTAAACATTAATTTTAAACTTTCTAGTAGTAAGTAGTAGTAAATAGCAAATTACACAAGTTTCTCGTATAATAATACAATGTTGTTAATGTTATCGTTCCTAGTACACTTCACCAGCTTCAAGGCCATTCGTTAACATCTCTCAACATCGTCCTGAACGTTATTGAACATTATTTCGTCAGTTACTTAACCCATTTATGCTTGGTATTCCTTAAAAGGGAAATTAAAATTATATTTTATAATTCAATTCATTGATAATTAGCGCCACCTATTATGCATTTGCTGCACTCTACTTGCGCGCCCAATTTGTTACTCAAACGTCATATTATAAAAAAATGTCAATTTGTGTGGTTTTGGTGCCATAGAATTTGAACAACATAATAAATGCAGCAACAGGTATGTATAAATATTAAATTTATGTTGGGCTGTTGTTAAAATCCAAGTGCATCATAATAAACATTATGTGTATTATGTACATTATGTAAACTACAAATCGGTTGATTTCTCAACTAGTGTTCCGGGGGACTCCATGCAATACGAACTGTTAAGAATTATATACGTATTTTACAGTTTGCGTTTAGATGAGCTCTTAATTCTCGTTTAAATTCCTTCTTTTAATCCTTTTCTATGATCTCCAGCAAATGGTTTCATTACGTTCTTTGTCAAAGTAAATGCTTCATCACCTACAATAACATAGCGAATATCCTTGTCTCCTCCAGGGAGTGGTTTTGCAGATGGTAATCCTAACGTATTACTCTCAAGTTTTTTATAAAGTTCTGTGTTTCTGAATACTCCCCCGTCAGAAATTCTACCTTGACATCCAATATTAACATAAAGAAAGTTATAATTCGCATCGACCAGAGCAAAAAGTACTATGCTAAAGAAGCCTTTGTAATTATAGTATTCACTTGCACTGTTAAATGGTGCTTGGAGAATAACATGCTTCCCATCAATTGCGCCAATGCAATGAGGAAAGTTCCATATTTGCTCATAATCTCGAGCCACTTCCAGCCATTCTTCTGGGGTTGAAGGCATCTAAAAAAATCAATCTGCAGTGATAGAATCGTACTTAAAAAATAATACACATTTTTAAAATCTTTTTTACAGTATTGTTAGATAATGTACATATATACTTTTTATAGGAAAATGTAAACGCAGAAGCTCAACCTTGTTCTACTTTAAATATAAACGCTAATGCCCAGCCTAATCCCAGTTTAAATGTAAACGCTGATGTTCAACCTGACAATAATTTAAATGGTTCTGGCACCAACAATGATACTGATACAAGCTTCGCTATACCACAAGCACCTATATCAGCACAACCAGCAAGTAAAATAAGAAAGCGAGCAAAGAAAAATGACGAGGATCCGCGTATAGAAATGGCTTATAAGTTTTTACAAGCACCGATGGAAAAAGAAGATTGCACACAACTATTTGCTAAATATGTCGCGGAAAAATTGAATCAGTTCGATCCATACACAAAGTCAGTCTTGACTCATAAAATTAATACTTTAATTTTTGATGCAGAATTGTCAAGACTTGGTGCGGCACCAAATGGTTCCCAATGTTTCATGTCCCCTTCCCAACATTCAGTTTCACCATTACATTCTGTTCGTGATATTTCATTACAAAGTAGCTCACCACCTTTATCAGTATCACCATCTCCCCAACCCCAATACCTGGTTGTTACCAGCAAACTTCCCACATCCTCAGAACAAACAGTCATTACAAAAGATACAGTCACTACAGAAAATCCAGTGACTGTGGAAAATACAGTGGCTACAGAAAATGCGGTAACATTTGAATTATCTCAATTTTTAAATCTTTAATAATAATTTTTCTAATTGAAAATAAAAATATGTTTAAATAAAAGTTCTTTTTGATGGTATGTGTTTGTTTCATTTACTTACCTTTATGCAATCTTGTAGAACATCAAGTAAAGCTTTACATACTTGCGGAACTATAATGGATATAGCTTGCTTAGATATTTTGAATAGGTACTGAAGACTTGTGTACGAATCTCCAGTAGCTAAGAAACGAAGTGTCAAAGCTAGTCTGTCCTTCACACTTATACTTTCTCTGAAGTTAGTATCCTGCTTCTGGATTTTTGGTCCAATCAAATTTATAAATAATTCGAAGTCTTGTACAGACATTCTTAAAAAGTTCTTAAAGTGACCAGTGCTTTCATCTAACGATAATATGTTCAATAAATGTACGCCTTCACCTTCATTTTTTCTGCTTTGGTACAAATGTTTCATCCAATACAGCCTTTTCTTGCGACTTTCTTCCTTTTTTTTAATTAAATTGTGCATTATTATGAATGCAGCGCACTTTTTCTTGAACATATTGCTATGCTGAGACATACTCTTACTAGACAACTACGCCAGGTAGGTACCTCTTTGAAACTAAGTTTATTTCACTTCAACAACACGTCCACATACAAATCCTGTGCGCCGCAAATTCCTTTGATGTTCGGGAGAAAACCGACTTTTGATGGTTCGTATGTGTGTGTGCGGCGAAAATTTTTGTGTGCCACTTTGTGCGTCAAACCGTCCACATTGCCACGCACACACACCACATACAACGTATACAGTCCACACAACGTAAATTTTTATTGATGTGGACCCAGCTTTAGACTACGTGACGAGGATAATGATCATATAAATATATACATTACGCTACCTGATGATCAGGGAGCCGAACCAGAAGAGACTAGTGATAAATCTGATGATGAACATGTAGGTGATACAACCCATTTATCGAAAGGCATCCTAAAGCAACAATGTGATGTTGAGTTTAATGGATATGATGACGATTTTGATGAGGAAGATCTTGCACATTTGAGAAGAACCCTCTTCAACATCAAAATCATCAAAAGCAGCAAAAGAAGAGCAATTGGAGAAGGTACTACTCCATTGTGTTCTTGCAACATCTCATGCAACCTCAGGAAACATTCCAAAGAAGTCGACTAAGCAGAAGATCCATTCCATTATTATAAATTACAATAATAACAAATAAACAATAAAGTCCATTTAAACATTGATGAATTGTATGTAGTGTTAGGCGATCTATTACTATCTGATGTGCCAAATACCCGAACAAAGAAATGATGTGGAAGAACCAAGGTGATGTGCCAAGAATTGTACAAGATAGTATGCGATTAAATAGACACAATAATTTTGTAGATAAATTGTATAAACTAAGACCATTTATTGAAAAACTTTATGAAAACTTTAAAAAACATGGTGTACTGGAAGAAAACACATCCATAGATGAATTATTACGACAAACATTACGCGAAGCAATACATAAAAGGTAAACCTGTGAGTTTTGGATTTAAAAATTGGTCTCTGTGCACAAGTGAAGGATATATGGTAAGCTTTGATGTTAGTGGTGCGTACGAGAGTGCGCATAGCTAGAGACTTTCATTGGTCTCGTCTCGAGTCTCGTGCATGAGGTCTTGCGTCTCGTACGAGAGTCTCGCAGGTAAGTATTTCTGCAAATAATATCTACAATATTTCTATAAATATTTTCGTATCTACACGCTGGAATTCCAGTAATGATATGTTGAAAGTACCTCTTGAAGGTAGACATGGACTTGGTGCATTGTGTCAAAATGTTGTTGATTTAAAACCATATGCTCTTGAGGACAAAGAATGAATACTGCTAGAAGAAGTGCATAAATTACTAGTCAACATTCAAATACTTTCCAAGAAACTCGGAGGAGAGAAGTACGTCAAATTGCCTATGGTGGTTGTATGTATTAATATACTAATAGATAATATTGGGAGCAAAATATTTGCATGGGACTGAAAGGCAGATCGAAACGCTGTCAAAGAGCAGCTTATTTATGCTGCAGTTTTAATTCTCGATTCGCGGCATAAGATAGAAGTTTTTAATATGACAAGATGGAGCCAAGAATTAAAAGACACTTCGATTCAGAAATTTGAAAATGTATACAAAGCCTATTTCCATCAATCAGAAGGCTAACGTTCGAAAGTAACGACATTGGAGGAACGAGAAGAAGAGCGGAAAAGTCGGATTGTGTAATTGATTTTGATGTTTTGTATGCAGTAAATCCTACGCCTTCCGAAGGAGAATGGATGCTTCAAAAATATTATTCTATGCCTCGGTGTAATAAAAACACGTATATATTACAATGGTGGAAAATTCATGCTTCTGAATTTCCTATTTTAAGTTTATTGGCACGAGATCTCTTAAACATCCCGGCTACTTCAGTCCCAGCAGAAAGATTATTCTCACGTGCTGCATTAATTATAGGAAAACATCGAAATCGCCTTAATAATAAATCTGCACGATGTTTGTTATGCCTAAACGATTGGTGAAAAACAAAATCATTTGCGACAGACAAGGCTGAAGGCTGTAATCCTCTCTTCCGACTCTTACATTATAGCAAGTATTTAAGTATTCCTTATTGCACTGAAAGAATAAGATTATTCATGACGAGATTTCGATACTTTTATGAGCCTCTTTTATGGAGGTTACGAGACTAGACTTGATACAAGACTTATTAGTTCATCGGCGAGACGAGACAAGACTTTATGAAAATCTCATCCCGTTGGTCTCGTGCGAACCACTATTTGATGTATATACAGGAAAATGTTCTAAAAGAAATGAAAATAAGTTTGGATTTGGAGGAAATGTCGTTTTAAACGTAATAAATAAAGCTGGAGTTGGAGAAATGAAATGATCTATTTTGATAATTATTTTACCAGTTATCTGAAGGAGAAG